GGCAGTTCACCTATGCTGTTCATTACTTTTATTCTACTCTTACAAATTGTCTACTTTCAGTGTATAATAAATTCCTTTTAGTTGGTTCATTTTGGATATTGGCATGTTTACCTGCATAACTCATTTTCATTTGTTTAATTGGCTGAAAGTCATTTATTAATCACATTTTGTACCACAATAAGATTCATAAGAATTTTATAAAGTTTCTGCTTCTTACCTAAGGTATTAGCTCTTTATTCTTAGTTCCAGTGTTAGAGTTAAAGCAGTCACCAAATGTGAGCAAAGACTTATCACCATATCAAAAATTTAAAGTTGAAATAATTTCAAATATGTAGAATTATTAAATTAACTGGTTTGGATCTAAGGATGTTAAAACAAGGCAATCTTGACATTGTACAAGAATCCTGCAAATTAACTGGCATACCTGCCTAACACTATCCATTATTCTGATGGGTAGTAAAATCTAGACATTTTTCTTTTATCAGTGTTATGAAAAATTACATAAGGCATGGTAATCAAAGGTAACACCTTCAATTTTTTATTAAAGTTCAAAAGTTTAGCAGAATTGAGGCTTGAAAAAGTTCAGTTTTACAATAAAAGTGCCACATAGAGACTTTCAAAATGGAATTCATTCCTGTGGAAATGAGAAATATTTACCTTTTTATAAAAAGAAAAGGCAAGTTAAAGCATTTTTTAATAAATTGGCTTTCAGAGTGTGTAGTGGCACACCCCAATGTTCTCAGAACTCTGAAAGGCTAAGGCATAAGAATGTAAAGGTTGAACAACTTAGCTCTGGGCAATACCTCGTGTTGAAATAGAATACTGAAAAAAGGGGTGCAAATTGGCACAAATGTCCCAGGTTTGAATCACTCTACCAAGCTGCCAAAATTAAATTAATTTTATTAAGTTTTTTATATTTAACTTTCATTTTACTTTATAGCATTGCCTTTTTGTTGGGCAAACTACTTAATCACTCCTACATTTTTTATCAGCATTGTTAAGAATGGCATTTTATTTTCTTCTTATTACAATATATTCTCTTTGTGCCTTTTATTATCCCATGTACTAGATATTGATTACAGGCACATCTCTCTAATGCATAACTTCTTGATGTGTTTGTACCCAGTTCAGAATTCTACATCTGACCCTGGAGCACACATGTGCACTGTGGACATTTATTAGTGATGTCACATAATATGATGAAACTTATTTTGGAAGTTAATAAGTGCAGAGTATAGAAAACACAGCAATGTATTTGCAAATGCAAGTGGTACTCCACATTTATTATTCTTTATTGGCTTTTTGGCTTCACTCTTGTCAGAATCATTTTTGTACAAATATACAAACTATATTGATATGATTTATTTATTTTCTGTAGGTAAAATTGCTTTTTATTTGAATTGAAAATGGATTTCTCCAGTACAAATTCTAATGTTTCTGTCTTCTCTTGTGTGAATCTCTGAAATGCTCTATCTCATCTCTTCCTTTCTTATCTCCTTATTCATTTCCTACAGAGCACAGTCATATTTGTTACTTGAATACTGTTATTGTGTTTCCGCATGTAAAATTGTGGCCTTCCTGCATGGGATAAAGTCCAGCCCTCATCTATTCTCTCTTTCTCTCTCTCTCTCTCTCTCTCTCTCTCTCTCTCTCTCTCTCTGTTGACTCAGCCCACCTTTGGGGGCAGGGCTGGCATGGTGTGTGATGCCTGGGATGGAACCGTGGTCCCCTGCAATTGCCTAAGCTTGCCCAAGCAGGTGCTTTAAGCTATCTAGCCAGCCCCATTCATTTTCTCTTATTGTGTAGCATTGCCCTTAGTGTTCATGTTGCTCTGCCTCAATAAGCCATCCTATGCTTTAAACCTGTCATGTTGGCGTGGCCTGTCCTTGACTGCTTCCTTCATGATTGTTTTTCCTGATACAGTGTTCCACCTCTTTGGCTTGACCTGTCATTGAATGATGTTTTTCATATTTTCGCCTTCTCAACCCTGGATCATCTTTCTTTTATATTCTTTCTATTGTCTGTCTCTTGTCACTAACAGTGTAAAATAATAACCAGTAGGGAGTAAATTCTTTCAAATAATGTGTCATACGATTAGCTTTCCACTAAGGAGAGACCCCATACAATAGAAAGAACAACTAGGAAAGTTAATATACACAAAGTTCAAAGTTACAGCAGTGCTCAGGGCATCTCTTCAGCTATAAAATAAGAAATTTAGAAACTAACAAAGGACTGTGATGCCTCACTGCCTGTCAATATTTAACATCTCTCAAAATATGATTCAGGGCATCGTACTGAAAAGAACAACATGGAAGCTAACAAACAATAAAGTACTGCTTAGCATGTTCCTTGAATATCCATGGATGCTTTTGGTCTATCTCTTTTTTTGGCTCAGGTGAAAAGTTGCGTTGTTTTTGTGGGGTCTTCCTTATCTTTCATAGGTGATAGTTAACCATACATCTAGGCAAGTGCAACCTAAAAATACACACAAAATACAACTATTACTCATTATCTCTTCTGGTACCACCCTTTTCCAAAGCACTTTCACCACACAGATGTATTTTTCAGAGTAATTCTTGATGAATATTTCTTCTACTTTTATTCCACTTCACTATATTCTACATTGTGAACAGCACTTTAAGTCCTTTATATGAAAATTCATATTTTCACTTATAGTGTTCAGGTGTCTCTCTCATCTCACTAAGAACATAATGCTTTCTGACATTAACCTTCTGTCTATGCCCAAGGAATACCAACCCCCTTCTTGTCTTTAAATTTACTGAGACTCTCTTCACTTCAAATTGCTTCACTTAACATTTCTTCCTGGAGTTCTTTTCTCCTCCATCAATTTCCACTTTTTTTTGTTGCTTCATTACTTTTATATTTAATGAACGATGTTTGACAACAGATACTCATATAAATGTGTTCTAAAATATTTATTAAAATAATAGTAGAGAATTTATTTTAGATATGTGGGCTAGCATAGACAACAAGACCATGCTTATTAGAAGGCTTAGGATGAAATGTTCCAAAGCTCTTTCAAATGTACCATAAGAAGTCTGCATCTTGTACAGCAATTAACCACTAAGAAGAATATATGCAGTGTATTATTTGTTGAAACTGTACTTTCGATTTGATTTGAAACTGCCTCATTGCTATATCTTTTATCAATAAAACTTTGAAAAGAAAAAAAAGAAGCTTTTCTGTTTCTATAAATCTTTACTTCTCTTCCTCTTCTTCCTCCTTCTCCTCCTTACACTCCTCTTCTTCTTACTCTTTCTTTTGGTCCTTATCATCTCCTCAGCTTGATCAAGAAGTAAAATAAGATGTTCTAAGGTGATTGCCTAACTTATAGTAAATGATCAGTTATTATCAGTTTAGCATCATTCTCTCCTAACATTTGTAACTATTTGCATGTTTCATTCAGTTTCTTTGTAAATGGAACAAAATGCCGGTCACATGGGGCTGGTAAGATAGCTCAGCAGACTAAGTGCCTGCTTCGGCAGGCACAGGGGCTGTTGTTCGATCCCTGGCCCCACAGGACACAATGGTCCCACACCTGGGCGTGCTGAGCCAGCAATTGAGACCCAGTGGTGGCACATACTTGTAATCCCAGCACTGTGGAGGCTAAAAGCAGGAAGATTTCTATGAGTCCAAACTACATAGTGAGACCTTGTACCAAATATTAAAAAAAAAAAAATTCCAGTCACCTACAACTTAAAGGTTAGCTTTATTTTGGCTCAAGTTTTATAAGTTTCAGTCCCTTCACCATCCGTGCCTCCAGACAGAAGTTGATTGGAAAGTCCCAAACAGAGGGAAGAAGCTCACCTCATGGCAGATAGGAAGCAGAGAGACAAATCCTTCCAGGTCATCAACTTAGTGACCTACTCCTTCCACCCATCTCCTACAGCTAACAGCAAGTCAGGTATAATGTCCTGCACTCCAGTCATTTTCGCAAAGCGCCATGAAAGACATCTCCTAGGGACTCCTAGGAGACATCTAGATATAAACAGTGACAGTGTACATAGTTACATTGGGTTGTGTATTACACACATATTAGTTTTCCTACTAGAAATTTCATTGCAAAAGTTTTCCAAGAAATAGGCTTGCAAAGGGAGAATGATTTTGATTCTATATGCACAATAGCATGCCCCAGAAAAAGCATAATTTGACTATTCCCCTCTCATTGTAAATTCTTTGGCTTCAACTCTCTTTGTTGATTACATTGCATATTCACTTCAATAGTATATCCTCTTTTTGCATTAAAATTCACCTGAATATTACATTCTCTTTTTGAATTAAAATATTTTCTTCATATCAGTTCATTTGGGGGAGTTAGTGACAACTCTGGACTTTTAATCATTGATGTACATATATATTGCATGGATTTGTGGTTCTGCAATATAAAATATACTTCCTACTACTACTTAGGCTCCATTTAGTGAAATGCATAAAATTGTCTTAGAAAAGGTAAATATCTGATCAGTGCTCCATTAATCAAGAGCAGTCTTATTAATGATTTCATAATTAGCATCAAAACAAATATGGCTTTTGGTGTTGAACTGGTATTCATAGATAAAAGGAAACATGCACACACTCTTTGGAATTGATGTAGGAAGATACATTAGTGTGTTCATAAAAGTGTTAAAGCCACCAAAAAAATTAAAATTTTATTTCAGCTCAAAACTTCTGCACCTGTTTGATTAGTTGGCAAATGTATGTATTGTTGTTCAGGAGTCAAGGTTAACAAAAGATTTAGTTACTGTTAACTATTCTGCAGAGACTCATGCCAGCCTTGAAAATGAATACATCTGATGATAATCAAATGATCCAAATGTAGTGAAAATCAGTTATAGAAACAAGAGAAATGAATAAATCTCATTTACATTGAATCTGTCTCTTTCATCAGATATGCTGTTAAACTGATTAGATCAAGGCTGGTAAAAACTCAGATGGCAAATAAGAAAACCACTCTGATCATTATCTTTTCTAACTTTCAGTATAAAGAACGTGACTCCGAAGGTAGGAGACCCTGAGACCCGCAAAGCTATTCGCCGTGCCTTCGACGTGTGGCAGAATGTAACTCCTCTAACGTTTGAAGAAGTTCCCTACAGTGAATTAGAAAATGGCAAGCGAGATGTAGATATAACCATCATTTTTGCATCTGGATTTCATGGAGACAGTTCTCCCTTTGATGGGGAGGGAGGATTTTTGGCGCACGCCTATTTCCCTGGACCGGGAATCGGAGGGGACACTCATTTCGACTCTGATGAGCCATGGACTCTAGGAAACCCTAATCATGATGGTAAGTACAGCACTTCATTCCAATGTACAAAGACCTATTTTTACTTTGAGAATCTCTTTGAGATTTATGAATCTGCAGTCTTATGGAATCAAACATTCTAAACATATATAAGGCTCTTTATGTTTGAGGATAAATTTATATTTCACTAGATAATGTAGTTGTAAATGTGTTCTTTTAATTAATGGTCAGAACTTTACACTGCTTAAAGACAATTTTGATTTCTACAAAATATCAACTTAAAAGATTTTTTTATTCAAGAAAGTCTTCTGTTCTGTGCTTTATTAGTGTTTCCATTTGCAATTTAATATTTGTTGTTTGGTTTTTACTGTAATTTTGTTAGATTACCACCATTCTAGTCTACTAATTTTTATTCCTATCACTTATCTGCTTAATTTATTTTTCAATCTTCTATGTATATGTGATTTATTATCTATATATCTTTACTGGGGCCAGGGAGATGGCTCAGTAGA